CATACTGATTGACCAACGAACTCTGGGTCCTCTCGGTGAACGGGTTTACGACATAATTGTTACAACCACCCTGCTCATAATCCTAGTTACTGTCTGCTTCATGGGCGTGACTATGAAACCGCTGGTGCGGCTGTTGAAGATTAAGCTGGAGGGTCAAAAGAGTGTGAGTATCCTGGAGACACTGAACCAGTCCATCTTTGATCACACTCTAGCCTGCATAGAGTCCATCTCAGGGAACACAGGTCGAAACCACCTGCGTCGCATCTTCCTGGATCTGGATGAGAAGTACATTCGTCAGGTGCTGCAGCGAGACCCCGAAAACAGCGCAACTAAGCTGGTTCGAGTGTACGAGAAGGTGGCCCTGAAGCTGCACTACGCGAGCATTCAACGCGCAAAGTCTTCCGCCCACCTGGATAAGCTGCCGGAACTGGTGAAGGAGCAGTTCTATCGGCAGATGAATACAGCCTCCAGCTATTCTCTGACTGGACTAGACGCATCCGATGGAGCCTCCGACGAAGGGGCTGCAGGAAAGGCAACAACAGCAGCAGCAGCAACAGACAAGGCAGGCAGGAATGGGGTTTTAAGGTCCATTTTGCGTACAAAGCCACCACAGCAGCAGCCGGAGACTGATTCTAATGCAGGCATTGATATCCTCTCGGAGGTGCAGCATGCCAAGAGGGTCTGCTTTAAACCGGGCACCAGGCGACAGTCGGAGTTCCCCGAGGACTTCCTTAAGGCTATCCACTCAAAGGCTTCCCTCATCCGCAGACGAGCAACGATACGTGCTGAACTGCCGCTTACCAGAGAGGAAGAACCACAGCCAAAATTAAGTGTTCTGGAGGAGGAGAAAAAGGGAGACAATGGAGGCAACGATAGCCCGCCGTCTACGAGGCTCTCCTATAGGCTGGGCTCCACGGATAGTTCAAGTCTCAGCGACGCCCCAGAAGAAGAACCAGCGGGTCAGAGGAGAAACACCACAGGTGGAATATAAGTGGAAAGCCCTCCCCCCGTCGGTTTACTTCGCAACCATTTCGCCTCACCTGATTTAGACGAACAAAAAAAATACTTACCTACGTGTCAACCTTTAATTTTTATGCTCTTTACCATTTCAGCCTTACAAACATCCAATAAACAATAAAGATAAAAGTTTTTTTTGAACTTGTAATATACTGCTCTCACAAAGTGGTCGCGCGGTTTGTACTGCTCACATTTTTGATGTACAGTTGAGGCCTAATCGCAAGAAACATTAATCGACATTCTGAAGTGATTCAAACGCATTTTTTCAGTAGGTTTGTAGGAATGATTAGCATACAGCAGCCAGTCGGGTCACTTTGCTGGGCTTTGAAAGAACATCTTTTTGACTGACTGCAGAAAGCATGCTCTGGACAAGGGGGCTCCTGAAATGACATATACTGTTCTCATGGATTTTAAACCATAAGAACAACTATTTAACAACTATTCTTTCTTGTACTGGTTAGGTAGCCAATTACGCCTTCTTCACATTTTATGTTTTGAAGAAGGAGGACCTTTCGGTTAAAAAAAGCGTTTCCAACTGGTTGAATAATGTCTGAACCTACATCAGAATTCAAGGTCTCCAGAATACATGCTGTGTTTTTTCTGTGTTATGAAAAGAAAATATTTCCCCACGATGTGAGGAAGAAGTCATATAGTTCCCATAAAATTTGCCAGAGGTTGTACACCAAGTTGTATAATTTATAAGCAGCATTAATAAATGGACAGATCAATTGCCTCATGAATACAAATTTCATGGTCGTAAAGAGTTTACTAATAAGAAACTTTGGTGATACCAGAAGGTACCCTCTTCTCAAGTAAAAAAAAATCGACGAAGGCGTAATTCGCTACCAAACGAGCATAAGAAAGAATATTTTTTGGATAAGGAAAAAGACGAGTCGTGCGCAGAATCAATCAATTTATTGTTCTGAGCTTTCGGCTCCACAGGAGAAGCCATCATTAGCGAAAATGAGAAAGCAGCAAGCGTTGGCTACGTGTGAATGGGATTGGTAGGGGGAGAGGGGGAAGACATACGAAAAGATAGCGTGGGAATGGACGCGGAGTGGACATGCACCAATCACAAGTGCCACTTCCCCCCTCCTCCTACCAACCTCATTCGCACGTAGCCAACGCTTGCTGTCTTCTCATTTTCTCTGACGATGGCTTCTCCCGTGGAGCCGAAAGCTCAGGACAATAAACTAATTGATCCAGTGCTAAATTCGTCTCCTTCCTTATCCAAGCAGATACCTGGAACTTTCCCATTCATTCGAGAATATTTTTGCTTTTCCTCTTAAACATATATTTGA